GTGGAGAGGGGAGGGTGGGGAGGGGCTGGGTGGGGAGGGGCTGGGTGGGGAGGGGAGTGGCTGGGTGGGGAGGGGCATGGTGGGGAGGGAGGGGCTGGGTGAGGAGGGAGGGGAGGGTGGGGAGGGAGGGGCTGGGTAGAGAGGGAGGGGCTGAGTGGAGAGGGAGGTACTGGGTGGGGAGGGAGGGGAGGGTGGGGAGGGAGGGGAGGGGCTGGGTGGGGAAGGCGGCCACGTCACACACGTGGGGGTGGGTGGCCACCAACCACGTGCGGCCATCTTCACGACATTTTCCCCTCCACGTGGAGAATCAACAACATGCGTTTGGAGTACGCGGCTGCTCTCAATCTCTACTTTATAAGCCGCCAATTCGTGGGTATTGTACTCCTTTTTTTTCGTGGGTATTGTACTCTTTTTTTGAGAAACAGCTTTTTCTTCTCTCCACAATCCCAGGTCCCCACTCGGTCCCCACCCTTCACGCCGGCTTGTGCCCGTCCTGACAGTCGGGCATATTTGCGGAATACACCACGTGGTGCCGCCGTTGACCCCGGCCATCGACCGAGCAACCCAACGTTCCTACCAGCTCCCTCCGCAGGAGAATGTGTTTTAGTTCTCATCTGGTTTTCAAATTAAAAAAAAACTCGACTTATCAGCGACCCGGAAAATATTCCGTGAGGATTGAAGTCGTGGACGGATGAACGTAGAGCATCTTCCTCAATGACACTCGCTCAGACCCACCACCACCCCCCACCCAATCAGACCCACCACCACCCCCCCACCCAATCAGACCCACCACCACCCCCCCCCACCCAATCAGCCCCAAACAGTCTCAACCCCCCGCTCAGCAGCCAAGACGGAACGAGACCGGGCGCATTGAAAACCGATTCGCTCGCGAGCGCCACGATGCTCCGTGGCCCGCAATGTGCCCCGCCGGTGGCTGCTTGGCGGTGATCCCTGCCCCCATCCGCTCTCAGCCGCCTCTTAATTTCGCTCTCCCGGCGATATAAAAAAAACAATAAAACCCATCCGCGCGTATTTGTCGCGGGCGCTTGGTTTTTATTTGCGTGCGGGGAGACGAGGGGGGCTGGAGGAGCGTTTGCTCGGCAGAGGAAGGAATGCGTGAGCTCCCCTTTAACTACCCCAGCCACTGCCCCCCCCCCCCCCCATGCGCTTTCTTGAACCCTGGGGGTGGAGGGCTGTGGTAATTGTCGGGAGACAAAAGTTCGAAATTGGGGTCACTGCGCTCAATGAGACTCATTCCCACGTAATTACTAATTAGGTGTTCGTAACGGGGCTTTGTGGCTTGTGCTGCACACGGAGGACGCGATGGCTCGGGGGGGGAGATGGTGTCTTTCGACGAAATATCGGGTAACTTAGGGACACTTAGCCAATTTGTACAAATGTGTTAAACATTGCTTTGTATCTTCTGGAAGAAAAAAAAATACTTAGATTCGTGTGACTTTGGCACAGCGCCAAGGTGTACATATGCACATGACCTTGTACATACGAAAGTCGTTCGAGTTTGAGTTGCCGTAACACTCACAAAAACATGAAACAAAATGAAACTTCCAAAATTTTCTAGATATTCCCCCTGCTACATGAATGTCATGCTACAATCCCTTAATGCCAAGAAAGCTACGGATTCTTTAGGAACGTGTACACGTATCAAGGTGCTCACATCGTTAGAACCTCGATACGTGTTAATTTACAACCAACCATTCTTCTACATTAGGCATGCACCATCCAACTGTACGGCCACAACTATAAACTTAACGTTTTTCTTCATCGGAAACTTTATGCACAACTGCTGTCCAACAAGACACACCATTCATTCAGCCACCCCCGTTGAACACACCCTGACGATTTGTACGACCGGTGCATTCACTTCTCAACCGGAGTTACCAGATGTCGAAACGAACTACAAAAAAATGTTCGGCCGTCAACCTCACCCCGATGAGCCGCAACAATACGTGCAGGTTAACCTTTGGACCCAGCCTCATAGTTTTAAAACAAAATTACGAAATATCAAGTCATCTTCTTCGCGTGTCATCATTGCCATCACTCGATCAATCCACTGCTGAACGAAGGCCTCCGCAAGCTACGTGCGGTGCGAAATAAGTTCAACATAATACATATCGTGACGGCCATGCATGTGTAGCGGCATTGTCACGCGCAACATGTGTACTTACCTGCGTAGCAGTATCGTGTGGGTCACGTACACTCACCTCTAGTGGCGCCCTCAGTGCGTAGGGGGCGCAGAACAGACAGTTGTACGACCCACGACTACAATAACCATTGACCAGGGGTGAGGGGGGCAGAGCCCACTGAGGGAGGGGGCTGGGGGGGGGCAACGGTCAAACCCAGACCCTCTCTCTCTCGAGAGAGAGGGCAGTTGGGAGAGAGGAGGACATAAAGGGCAGCAGCTCTCCCAGCGTGAGCCAGTCCGCACTCAGCTCAAGACTCGAAGACATCTAGATAGTGCCCTGGGACTTCCGACCCCCAGCCCCTTGTAAGTGCCAGGTCCGAACGGCCCAGTGGCGGCACCCGTTACCCTGGCAAGGTCGGGTGAGCATCGCCTCCCGCTGGGTCCCTTAGATGGAGGAATTCCCGATAGCAGAGTACAGTGACGGAAAAAAGTATTTGATCCCCTGTTGATTTTGTACGTTTGCCCACTAACAAAGAAATGATCAGTCTATAATTTTAATGGTAGGTTTATTTGAACATTGAGAACCAGAATAACAGCAACAAAATCCAGAAAAACCCATGTCAAAAATTTTATAAATTGATTTGCATTTTAATTAGGGAAATAAGTATTTGACCCCCTCTCAATCGGAAAGATTTCTGGCTCCCAGGTGTCTTTTATACAGGTAACGAGCTAAGATTAGGAGCACACTCTTAAAGGGAGTGCTCCTAATCTCAGATTGTTACCTGTATAAAAGACACCTGTCCACAGAAGCAATCAATCAGATTCCAAACTCTCCACCATGGCCAAGACCAAAGAGCTCTCCACGGATGTCAGGGACAAGATTGTAGACCTACACAAGGCTGGAATGGGCTACAAGACCATTGCCAAACAGCTTGGTGAGAAGGTGACAACAGTTGGTGCGATTATTCGCAAATGGAAGAAACACAAAAGAACTGTCAATCTCCCTCGGCCTGGAGCTCCATGCAAGATCTCACCTCGTGGAGTTGCAATGATCATGGGAACGGTGAGGAATCAGCCCAGAACTACACGGGAGGATCTTGTCAATGATCTCAAGGCAGCTGGGACCATAGTCACCAAGAAAACAATTGGTAAAACACTACGCCGTGAACTGAAATCCTGCAGCGCCCGCAAGGTCCCCCTGCTCAAGAAAGCACATATACATGCCGGTCTGAAGTTTGCCAATGAACATCTGAATGATTCAGAGGACAACTGGGTGAAAGTGTTGTGGTCAGATGAGACCAAAATGGAGCTCTTTGGCATCAACTCAACTCGCCGTGTTTTGAGGAGGAGGAATGCTGCCTATGACCCCAAGAACACCATCCCCACCGTCAAACATGGAGGTGGAAACATTATGCTTTGGGGGTGTTTTTCTGCTAAGGGGACAGGACAACTTCACCGCATCAAAGGGACGATGGACGGGGCTGTGTACCGTCAAACCTTGGGTGATAACCTCCTTCCCTCATCCAGGGCATTGAAAATGGGTCGTGGATGGATATTCCAGCATGACAATGACCCAAAATACACGGCCAAGGCAACAAAGGAGTGGCTCGAGAAGAAGCACATTAAGGTCCTGGAGTGGCCTAGCCAGTCTCCAGACCTTAATCCCATCGAAAATCTGTGGAGGGAGCTGAAGGTTCGAGTTGCCAAACGTCAGCCTCGAAACCTTAATGACTTGGTGAAGATCTGCAAAGCGGCGTGGGACAAAATCCCTCCTGAGATGTGTGCAAACCTGGTGGCCAACTACAAGAAACGCCTGACATCTGTGATTGCCAACAAGGGTTTTGCCACCAAGTACTAAGTCATGTTTTGCAGAGGGGTCAAATACTTATTTCCCTCATTTAAATGCAAATCAATTTATTTTCTGCATTTTGTTGTTGTTATTCTGTCTCTCACTGTTCAAATAAACCGACCATTAAAATTATTGACTGATCATTTCTTTGTCAGTGGGCAAACGTACAAAATCAGCAGGGGATCAAATACTTTTTTCCCTCACTGTATAGTGTGAGGGTACACTAAGAGTGAGGACGTATCCTCTAGGCTATCGGGTGGGAGAGGCCGTTACCTCTCTGTGTTAGCGACGTTCTGTCGTTAGAGTAAATAAACGGTGTTGCCTACAAAGAGAAGACTGCCTACTTTGTCAACACTACACACGTTTGAAAAGTAGAGGGCGCTGTCGTGAAAGGATGTTTAAACTTTAAATTCACACTGCTGCAAACACCCCCAGGCTGGCGGGGAGTAGAATTCTATGCATCAAGTGCCTCAAAATATTGTTTATCCCACACCACTTTCGAGCTTGCTCAATCTTCGTGGCACACCAAGCCAACATATCACCGTGGGCCCTTCTTCCAGCAGTGGATTGATCATGGCCTACGATGGTGTGCGCGTATGTTGCTATTTCTCAAGTGGTACTCCATCTATGAACTTGGCCTCGCCATAGAAACGTGTAATTCTCCAAATAGCGTGTCGCACTCTACAGACCTTTAGCAGACTCGGTTAGAACCGCAAACGCGCGAGGCTCAGGTATGGGGGGCTGGATTTCTAACGGTGTTCATTTCAACACCAACTTGTTTCACGTTGGCGCGTGTTGGCGTTTGCTATATTATTGATCAATTTGAAAATACCGCAGCACACCTGGTTGACTCTTGCTGCTATTTCGGCACAACGGTTGCATAGTGGCAAAAAAAATCTGTTCTTGTGGCACGGCTTTCCAGGCAGGCAGCACAAATCCACGTGGTATGCATACGTAAAAGTAATTTAAAAAAAAAACTCGCAATTATCACAAAAATACAAAATCAAAGAATGTCAACTTTATCTCTTTATTGTATTTAAAAGGAAGAATTTCGTATGCACATGCAATTTGTTTACAATACATTACATGAAAACCAATAAATGTTGTTATTGCATATGTCTGAGAAAAGACTGAGCTAGCGCATGTATTTCATACAATATTAAACACACTCCGATTACTGCATGTAGGTAGAGCTCAAAAGAATGTACAAAGCCCTTAACGAAGTCATTATCTCCTCGAGTAAAGCTTATGCTCGTACGCATAATTGCACCAATTGTTTGACCAAGTCACTTTCAAACAGTATAAAACTGGCCGTGTTGGAACGACCCCCAGTCAAGGGCACGGGAGACCATCCGAGTGGGATTAACACATCCCTTGCAATTTCAAAAAATACTTCACGATCAGTTATCATCTACAGTCATCACCATTTTCACAAGTGAGCGACGGCATGATATGCTGACATGGCTACGTGTCTTCGTAGGCTTGAGGCTTTTTTTCCGAAATACGTTTTATTTATTCATTCACTTTGGGGGGGGGGGGGGGTGGTGGGCTGTGTTGGGTTGGGAGTGAATTTGAATGCGGAGGGGAGGGAAAGGGGAGGCACGCTTGTGAACATTCTCATTAAAATACAAGAATGAGGCCAAAATGAGTGTGCCCAGTCAACACGGGCCGTGGAGTATGGATGGCTTTGGCAAGGGAGGGGGGCACGGCGAGGAGGCGCCCTCTTCCTCCTCCCCCTCCTCCTCTTCCTCCTCCTCCTCCCCCTCGCTATTCGTCGGCCGCACGGTCGCACCCCTCGGCGTCGCGGCTCTGCCCGTCGCCGGTCCCTCGCGGCTGCTCCTCTGCAGAGTCGGCTCCCCTCGTCTCCAGCTGCCTCAACTGCAGCGCCAACGTTCACGGTTGGCGGCGGCGGCGGCGGGCACGAGAGACGGCGAAACGTGCGAGCGACACGGACGCAGGATGATGCACGCCACCGGCACAAAACACACACGTGGCAACACAAAATCGTGACCGAGACGAACATCCATCACCGGGCAGAATTCAAAAACCACACACACACACACACGACCAACGCAAATGTGTGATCAACTACTTAAAACGCATGAGGAACGCAAACGCATGACCAACAGAAGCACAGCCACGGCAAAAACACCACCAACGCACAAAGCATCAGTCTGTCCTGGAGCACGTCTCATGAGGTTATCATTGCAGAGTTTGTATTCGTACATCTATAGTCTATGCCTGAATAAATTGTGCGAAAGTGGAGCAACAAATTCCATTTTAATGACCATTGGCTGCTCGGTTCTGTTTGAATTGCACCGTGAAATATCACCAATGTGGCAAAGCACGACACAAATACCAAAGAGACTAAATATTTCTAAATAATGGGGGACGTTGTTATGTGCGGGTGTGGCGCTGGGCAGCAGACAGCAGTGCAGCAAAATCCACTTTTGTTGCTTCTAAACCGCTAGGCTCCCTGCCTTCACAAAACTGAACGGTGAAGAATGCACAGATAACCCCCCATAACCTGAATGGCCCGCATCCAGCAGTGAATTGACAAGAGGCCTCAGTGTACATATACGGTGGAGAACGAATCTAAACCTTTCGAAAATATATTAACCTAGATTTGTTTTTTTTATATATATCAGAATCTCTATTTAGACTGAAAGGAATCCAATGAGTTATGAAGCTCATTTTCACAGAGGTCCAGTAGGGGTGGGTCAGTAAGTTATAACATAAAAAACAATACAAAAACCTACGGAGAGGACAAAATCGAGAAAAAGTTAAAATGAATAACAATAAGCATGATATGGTGATATTGTGCAAAATGGACGATACAATTACCATGGATATTGGAAAGACAATGAGAAACGATAAATCGCCGAATTGCCATACTGCGGCAATCCTCATGATGCCGCAAAGGGGCATTGTTAGGATTAATAATTACGCTGTGATATCGATTGGTTCATTGCACAAAGCCAATGTGACCAGTGTACTTGCCCCCGGGGTCTGCCGTGCAGTCACTTACGCTTCACTCACTTTCGTCTGAAGATTCTTGACGTCGGTCTCGAGGCGGCCGACGGTAGCCCGCAGCGCACCCTGCTCGTCCCTCAACTCCTGCACCTCAGCGGCGAGGCGTGGATCGAACAGCGACGCCGGCGACGCCGACGCCGCCGCCGACGCCGCCGCCGCCTGCAGGTTGGCGACCTCGGCCCGCAGGCTCCGCACCTCGCCGCCCGCGGACGGCACTCGCAGCCGCGCCACCTCGGAGCGCAGGGCGTGCACCTCCTCGCGAAGCTGCCCGCTTTCTGCGCGTGCCTTCTGCGCCTCGGCCAGCAGCTGCCGCACCGTGTCGCGCAGGTGCGCCACCTCCCCGGCCGGCGCCGCCGCCGCCGCCGCCGCCTCGGCGCCCGCGCCACCGGCGCCGCCGCCGCCGCCGCCGCCGCCGCCGAGGCCCTGGGAGACACGACGCGCCGGGGCGGCAGCGGCGTACGAGGTACGGCGATCATGCGCACCGCCCCGCTCCTGCGAAGGGGATGCAGGAAACCGGAGGGGACGTGTGGATTTAAGAATAATACGTTTTGTTTTATGCAGTCATTCGTGTAAATCGAATTTGAACAACAACAAAAAACCACTGTGGAATGCGTAACGCGCGCACTTTTCGAAGCCACAGTCAAGCGAGAAGCTGCAGAATAGCGGGGAAGGCAGCTGGAACGGACGCTGACAAATTCCTGAAGCTCTGTGGTTACGTTGGGCTGTTTGGCCAACTCCATAAACGAGCGTTTACACATGCAGGAGAAAACAGGAGCACCCGGAGAAAACCCGCGAATGCAATCCCCGTACAGATGGAAATTAACCCACTTGCTGTATTCCGATTAGCACTGTTGGCTATGTACAGTGCAAAATAAGTTCAACACACATATATACCGCTATCAGACTCTGGCAAGCTAGATGACAACCTCCACGCCCACCAGGTACGGAGGGAGAATTTCACAAATGTGTGCGATCCCTCAACCTCCCCCTGCCACCACAGTGCTGCATTGTGGGCATGCAAAGGCACTAGCGATTAGCCCTGGGGACATTAACTGTGCTAGTCACACCACTTAAATACACCGCGGGTTCTAATATCTGCTCCTTGCTCATTGTGGGGACTTGACAGTGCCCACGTGACCATAAACATACGTAGGAAATAAGTAAAAGTTTCCCACCCAATTTACATGCTTTGCATCATGTGTTTTGATTTAATCAAGCCATCCTTTATGTTGACTTACAACTTTCGTGACTGCAGGAATTCATATTCTATGGTTATTTCGGTAAAGTCACGTAGATAGAAAAAATAATAACAATAAAATAATACAAATAAAAATAAAGTGAATACAATTTTTTTTAAAACATCACAATGTTTCCATCGCAACACAAGCAATCGTCATCAGGAGAAAAAAAGAGGGGGAAAGCTGCTGAGGCAGGCTGTTTATAAAGGTTTAGAGATGAGCGGGGCAGCTCATGTTAATGTAGGAGAGGTTTCGACACCGGCAGTAGGTCTACACTAATCAAAGAGCTGTTTATAAAGGTTTAGAGATGGGCGGGGCAGCTAATGTTAATGTAGGAGAGGTCTAGACACCGGCAGTAGGTCTACACTAATCAAAGAGTTGTTTATAAAGGTTTAGAGATGGGCGGGGCAGCTAATGTTAATGTAGGAGAGGGCCCCGACACCAGCAGTAGGTCTCCATCAATCAAAGCATTGCACCTCGCTCCACACACCCACACTGCTGACGGTGGAGGTGGACAAGAAAACACAAATCAAGTCATGACCCAAAGTGGTTGATGACATCGTTCCAATGATTGCCGGGTTTAAAACCGTCGTCTCGGTTGAAAGTGGGTCTGTATATATGGATGGCTTCGTGAACGAATCTTTGTTGATAGCCAGTCGGCTTGTAAAGTACCATCGTCTTAGAGAAATCAATTTCACGTGAGCAAGCCGCATTAAAGTAATGATCAGTCACAGCAGAAGTAATGGTCCTGCCGTGTTTCAGATCTGCCTTATGTTCACGAAGACAGTCCGAGACACGTCGTTTGGTTTCCCCAATGTAACTGCTGCCGCAGATACAGCTTAGTTTGTAGGCGTTGGGATATTGCATGTCAGGAATCTTGTCCTTCACAGATGGGATCAGGTCACAAATTTTATGCCCTGTGTTTAATCAAACCTGGATCTTGTGTTTGTTCAAGATTTTTAAAATATTTTGGTGACCCCTGCTATGTAAGGTACGGTGATGGTTTTGATTGGATCTTCAGATGGTTCCTTCCTCACGGTTGGGGTGATGGCTTTGCGGATTGTGTAGTCAGAATATCCATTCGCCTTGAGAGCCTGGTGTACGTGTTTGAGTTCACTGGTCAGGTGTTCATGGTCGCAAATACATTGCCCTCTATGGTGTAGAGTTTTGATGAGGGAATTCTTCTGGGATGGTGGTGGGAATCAGGTTTTAGGTAGGCGTCAGTATGGGTTACTTTCCTGTAGACAGAGTGGCTCATTAAGCCATCTGGTCTCTTTTTGATTAGGACATCCAAGAAGGGTGGCGGCATGCCATCCTTTTCTACCTCCATGGTGAATTTGATTGCTGGGTGTATGGAATTGATGTGGTTGAGGAATTGGTTTAGAGCCGGTCGGCCATGTGGCCAGATGACAAACGTATCATCCACGTACCTCTTCCACAAGGACGGGTGTAGAGTGGATGCCTGGATGGCGTCCGTCTCGAATTTTTTCCAGGAAAATGTTGGCCACAACCAGAGATAAGGGAGAACCCATTGGGGTTCAATTTGTTTGTAGAATGTTCCATTGCAAGTGAAGGCAGTGTCTCACCAGGGCTGGTACATCAGAATTCAGTCCTTGTTGGACCAAATCTTCAATTATTGCAAAGGTATCAGGCACAGGACTTTGGTGAACAGAGAAACTACATCAAAACAAATGAGCAAATCACCTGGGGACAGTGAGATGTCTTTAATTGACGATACCAGGTGAGCTGAGTTAAGAACAGAGAGGTGGTCTTACCAGTGAATGGCTGCAAGGACTCAGATAGATATTGGGCCAGTTTGTAGGTGGGCAAGCCAATAGTGGAGACGATGGGACAAAGGGGTGTACATTCTTTATGGATTTTTGGTAAGCCATATTAGTCTGGGTGGTCTAGCAGCAGAAAGTTGTAAGGAAAACCGTTTGGTCTGGTCAATTAATGAAGCTAAATCAGTGATGATACTGTTCGTTTTTGTAACAAGCCAGTTGGTGAGATCTCTTTTAATTTGTGTGTAGCTGCCATCATTAAGTAGCTCCTGAATTTTGTTATTGTACACGTTTTTGTCCATGATGACCGTGGCATTGCCCTTGTCGGCTGAGAGTATGACAATATGTTCATCCCTTATTATTGACAATAGAGCCGACTAGTTACGTTATCTTGTTATCTAAAAACTTCTAGCGATACACGACTGGGTCATCTATTTACAAGCAAGATAATACAACTGCCAGACACGCCGCATAACTACATCATATCTATTTTACGCATATAGCTATAGACTGACGGATATGGAGTGCACATTACAGACGGACGAGAGCCCTTGATTTTAACTTCCCAGTCTCTTCAGCGGCCGTCAACTCAAAAACGCCCAATGTGACCGATGCGTCTTAAGTGCCATGTTCCTTACCATGCCCCCCGAGTCTCCCAGCGATCCGAGCTCCAGGCTGGGCACTTTGGGGACCCCGGCGAGGGAAGGGGGCACGTTGGGCGGCAGACCCCGGCGAGACGCGCTGCCCTGCGACTCCCCAGCCATTGGGATGAATTCTGCTTCTTCCAGTTCCTGACGGCATCACAAGCGATAATCATCACTAAATCGCCCCGTGCAGGAACAAATATAAACACAGTGCACCTCAACCTTTGTGTTATGGTGGCCCTCCAAATCATGACCACCGATTCCCCAAGCCCACCTCCCTCCCCACCATACACAACTAAACTTACGACTAACATGCAACCAAAGCTAAAGCTAGAAAAAGGCCACGCATCAGAAAGCTCACATGTCCATGCCTCTAGTCAACGCCATGGTCGTAAGTCATATGCTGTGTATGTTTTTCTGGTTTTGCCACAACGTGGCACCGAATTTCCCCATGCACATTCAACATTACTCCAGTAAGGTATACATGCCACAGCCTGCAGCCCGCGTAAAAGCATTTCAGAGGGGGGCACGGCCAATGGGCCGAGATCCACGGGCGTAAGACTAAGTGGGACATCCAAGGACATAAATCAACTTCAGAAGCGCATTACTTACAACACCGCCTAGAGGAGGTAGCATTATTGCATAGACGTATACTTTGACACTTAAGACTAACATCGCGATTAAAACTAAAACTGGGAAACGCCCTCGTGAATTCAAACGAGTCTCGAGACAGAGCGGGAAAAAGAGCTCTCACCCTTCGCAACCACTCGGGACAGGAGCTGCCAGCCGTGCTGCTTTCAGACTCCTCGTAAGTGGGAGGGTCGAATTGGCTCTTGGCGCTGTCCTCATCGTACCCGGACTCATCCTCCGTCTCGCCCAGGGAACTCCGTGGGACTGCACGCAGAGGGGACAAACGCGGCGCGGCTCATTGAACGTGCGGTCAGGAAGACGGGTGACATTCATTGCAAAAATGAGACATTTTCCCAGTATTAAAGTATTAAAAAATAAGAATATGTTTTACCCTTTCTGGCAATAGAACAGGTGTTAAAGATGTTCAAACACCGAATAGAAACCTTTTTGCAAGCAATCAAGTACTGTATTAACCACACGTACTTGTGGTGAACATGCAAACAAACACGCTCTGATAATATATGATGCATTGTCTTTGAAACTGATTGGTCTACACCAGAGAGTCTTCTTTAGGGCCTAGTCACACCAGTGTCAAACTAGAGAACGCTAAAAGGAAAAAGTACAAAGACAATGCCACAATCAGAACATTTATAGCTCCGGGTGAGCAGCTACAAAATGTTTTATTGTTAGAAAGGGTAAAACCTATTCTGATGTGCATTACGTTGTAGAACGCGTGTCGCTGCAAATTCACGCTTCTCTTGGTGAACTCACTTGATCTGGCTGAAAAGTTCCCCCCTGATCGGATGGTCTTCGAAGTCAACACTTTTTCTGGAATACAAAGTGTAAATGTAATTAGCAACAACATTGCTACAAAAAAAAAACAAATGATAAATCAATGTAAAAGTATTTATTTTCATGTATTGACAACAAGATGCAGAGTTTTCATTTAACTACAACAAAAACTAACAAAACATGCCAATATTTTTTTCCAAGCCATGACTTAACTGCATTCTCAATAAAAAAAAATAATCAGACATCCCTCCACCTCTCCACGTAAATAATTAAAGTATTTCTTACGCAATCCATCAGCCAAATTGGACTTTCTAGGAGTTCATAATTTCAGCAGCATTGTTTCAAGACAAGCAAACTCTGGACCTGTTTCGACATAGTGATTTGGTGTCCTGCTGACTCTACATGCAGGGACCCTCTCTTAACGATACGGGGTCCTAGGTCAACGCAAAATTATATAATACACGACTCCAACTCATCTTTAGCATAATTGTGGAGAATATAAATACCAAAATAAATAAGCAGTTGCGTAGGATTTTTTTTTTTACTTTTCATGTGGAGAAAGGCACATGAAAGACTTTTTCAATCTACTTATTTTATTTTCCCCGCACTAAATTGGATGAGTTATGGCCCTCGGCAACAACAGATCAACGGCGTGGTTGCCCCAGGATGTAGCACTGCACAACATTACAGCACAGGCTGCCCGGCTGCCGAGGCACAGCGAGTGATGTAGGGATGTCAGCGAGCTAGCCGGGTGGCCGTGCTTGTCCCATCACCGCCCATCCAAGTGGCAAAGGTGACACAACTTCCTTCCCATCTATTTTCGCGTTGTCCAATTGGTCCAGTAAACGAGCCGACGATCGGTCAAGTCGTCGATTCGGAAATAATGAATCTCCCAGCCGTGCCCGTGAGCGTGCTGCCCTGCTCGCACCTGCGATGAGGATGGTGTGCCACCCGCGGCACGACAGGTCGGAGACGACGTGCAGCGAGCCGAAGATGGGCCGTGGCAATGCCAGCGGGCTGTTCCCTGGCTTCTCCGAGGGCATCACCCCCAGCCGGCCGTTGTCCGTGTTTCCCCACGCGTAGATGTGGTTGTCTGCTCAGAGGAAACGTACAAAGCAGGTGCACGTTTTGTCAATCCATTGTTTGGATTAGCGCCTCCATCAGGCCGTGCGGGCGGTATGAGGTTTATTTGGTCATGCTGCACATTGATCAATGCGGAATTTGTAACAAGGTGGGGAGCATAGTAGTCCAAAATACAATAGATTTTTTTTTTCCCGCACTGCCATCTGTGGCCCACCATGTCATCCTGCGGCCGACAAACACTCGTTTGTACATGACACCATCCAGACTCAACCCTGCTTAGCCTCGGAGATTTGACAATTTCAGCCACATTCGAGGTTTGGGTCATAATATCGGAGAAACAGTGGAATTAAGTAATGTACGAGATCACCAATTCGACTACACTTAATCTTTGTACATTGGGAGACACCGTAAAAAAGTACTCAAAAGTCTGTCCATGAGCTACATTATAAATATGAAACAAGATGTGGCACAACACAAACACCATCCGACAGAACATATTAGAATTCCATCTGGCTCATTCAATAATCATATCAAACCCAAGGCCAATTTAATCGTAACCAATGGGTGGCACGATGAGGCATTGCTTTGGGATTTCTGCGGCACAGATAGCCAGCTCTCAGAGTGATTTTCATACAAGCATTGTGAACACGTGGACAAACATTAAAAAGAGGGTATGGTTACATGGGCTCCCCTGATGCAGGGCCTGCAATGAGCGAACCAGATGAGAAGGCCTGGGGGACAGGGACCGCTGGAACGGGATAATCAGACCCCTCGGGGCCTCGACGGGAGTGATAGACGGCCTTATAGCAGGGAAACTTGGTCGAGCACCAGCCGCACTTGTGTTTTGTTGATTATGGGCAGACCCCTGGCTTACTCTTTACCTCCCTCCCCCATCACTTCCTCTGCCATACAAGCCGGGGACAACCCACCAGCATGTTAAACATCCCACCCCCCCACCTTTTCCCTTTTACTTTCTTATATACAGCCACCCCACCCCTCCCCTATGTTCTACCAGCACGATTTTTCCATGTAAATGAGACAATATTTTTTTTCCCCCCCTCCGCTCCTTCCCGGGGTTGTCTGCTCCCACCCTCCCCGTCAACCAGGACACGTCGAGTACATGGACCTGGTGGATAATCGCGTGTAGGTTGTTTTTTTTGTCGCCGAACGTTCTGCAGCGGGCCTTTGTACTTGCGTACAACAAAAATGCAAAGAAATATATTTTTAGAAAGGGGGCATGGTGAAGCGCTCGGGGATCGAGGCGGTACTGGGTTTAAGGTTAGAGCTATTGCTGGTGGCAAAGCCCCATAAGCCGATGGAGAAAATATGTTTTACCTTGTTAATCATAAGTGTGCAGGTACAAGGTGGACTGTCACACGATTGTGACAAGTGGAAGTGGCTTAGAGTGGCCTTCATCCAGCAGTGAGTTGACGATGGCTGATGTTGAACTCGATCTGTATGGTTTAGAGCAGTGGCTTGACTATTGATCAAGCAGGTAGTGCAACTGCACCGGAGGCCTACGGGGCAGAGGGGGCCAAAGGCGCTGGGCCACAACGTGGGAGGAAATTGTACAGGCGGTCTCCCCCCCATTCAATCCTTGCACCAGGGGGCCCATACCGACCACATTCTGCCACCGGGTTAGAGATTGGGAGTGCGTTTGGTTGACTTGCGTGCTTCACCACCTAACAAACTGCCTTCCCCTGCCACACTGCCAAGACCCCATTTTTCACTTTCTTCTTTGCTTTTCTGGCTTTTCCCCCGTACAGCCCCGACTGGCCCGAGGGACCCACCTTCCGTGGCGGCAATTGTGAAGCCATCCCCGCAGGACACCATGGTGATGAGCTTGCCGACGAGGGGCCCCTTGTGCAGAACGATGCCCAGGTGCTTCTTGAAGTCGCCCGTGCCCAGCTGCCCGTGCTTATTGTGCCCGAACGTAAGCAGACGTCCGCACACTGGCGGGACAGCACACAACAGCGGCTCGTCACACTGGCCACTTGGGGGCGCCACGGTAACACAACGGCAATGGGCAGCGCCCACATTTTAACTTGTAATACTTGTTCCATCGCAAAGACGACTCGGATGAAAGCCTCCCCGAGCCGTTATTTCTCAATCAGTGGAACGATAATGCCCGATTATGACGACGATGGTTGTTTATCAGTCAATGTGCAAAGAAACAATTCACTGCCATCAAAAGGCTGCACGGTGTGGTGTGTGCACACGCATGGGTGTGCAGGCACTGTATTCGTACGGTTAAGGTGGGCTCACATTTATCACATCCTTATTATTGGATAACACCAAGGTGCGCGTGTTAGTGTGTTTGCTCACTTAAAAAAAAGTATTCGAGAGTCCTATTCAGCTCCCTTTAGGGAAAAGATTCCCTGCCCCTGATTGAGTGGGTAATGATTGCAGCTGGCACCTTTCCTACTGCCATTACAAGAGCGGGTAAAATCATGCCAAGGCTGCTGTGCCCACACACCGTCAATAACGGCGCTGTGCGTCTTGCCGCCGGAGATGCTACGGATCTTGTAGATAGACAGCTGCTTCACCAGTGTTGGCATCAACTTCATTATCACCTCGTGGAAGACCTGTGGAGGCAGTGCAGTAAATCTTGTCAACATTAAAACTCGGCTGTCCAACAAGGTGACATAAAGGGAATTAATGTTACAAACCCCCACTTAATTTAACCAATTAGAAGTAATGTATTGGCACAAAGGGACACGTGATCACCTCAATAGTTCAGTTGGTTCAATGGCTCCCAATCCAGTCCCAGATCAATTTCAAGTTCACCGTCACCTACTGTACTCCTCCAATCCACATTTTCTATCCTCCAGCAACAAAGGCTTTCTGTTGAAGGTCCAAGAACAACCCATAATCTCTGCAGAAGGTCGCTTACTACCCCCCCCCCCCCCTCTGCTGCCCCCATAATTTGGAACACCATTATTGCCAGCCATCTGTGTATCTCCCCATTCCTGCACCCTCTGATCAAGCATACATGGCCTCCCAAAAACCCCCGAGACAAGCGCCACTCAGTGGTAGGTTGCACCTTTTCCGCTGCTGCCTACACTGTCTGGAAATCCCTCCCCTTGTCATCTCCGTTCCCCTGTTCAGGCCCAGACTTGAGGCCTTCCTCTTCTCCTTTGTCTATAATTGGCCTTTCTATCAATCCTGGTACCTTTGTCATTCATGGCACAGAAGTGTTCTTTCCTCATATGATCATGTCCCTAAACCTCATTCTTCAATAAAAAAACGAAATCCTCACAATCTTATCACACACACACACACACACGCCTTCCTTCCGAATGACGTCCACAATTTGGTGTTTTATAAATCTACACTGGGGTGGAGCAGTGGCACAGTGTTCAGAGCAATGTACCAGGATCCCAGTGACCGGAATTTAATTCCCGGCCACGGTGAACGTCAGCAGCGGCAAAATTATATCCAACTGGTCCTGGGTTGCCCATCTCCCTTGTCGACAGATTCACTAACTCGCACCGACGAGTGTGGTAAAGTAGGGTCAATCAACCCCCAGGGGGACTGACAGCGGTGCAGGCGAAACATTCATGCACCCGGTTGATGGACAATCGTAATAAAGCTACATGGCACTGCAATGTAATCGTGTTATAGATATACTGCTGCGAAGCTCCCGAGGAGCTGCCGCGCGGCGCCGACCAACTCACGGAGGTCTCGCGGTTGCGAAGGCCCGACGTGCACTGGTTGAGGCCCAGCTTGTTAAACTCGTTGTTGCCGCACGCCAACACCTTGCCCTGCGCTGTCAGGAAGAACGTGCCATCCGTGCCGCAGCACACCTCCGTGATCTTCCACCGGTTCGACAGCGGCACCTGCCAAGGGAGGCACGAGCAAACGCGCAAGCACGGTGAATTGGAGGCGAGGATTTAAATCACAGATGTAGACAATTGAGAATTTCTTCCATCTTTACTCATACCATTACCCTAACGAAGCGGTTCTCAAACCGCGAGGGCACACACCCCTAAAAGCATTTCAGGGAGGAACAGGCTGCAAATGGATACTGTGCAGATAGAAATGCAATGCCAGTGGAGACCCTTAGCACCATGTTGCGGAGAAAATATTTTTGGTTACAATGAATTGCTAAATCATTACAAGCCTATTCAAATATACAGCTCACCATATCATGGACTTACTCGTTTAGGGTAGAACTCCGTGGCATCAGTCTCCAATCCCAATCGGCCTAAAACAGAAGCAAATCAAACAGATCTGCGGTGAGACAGCTCAACCCACAAGCGTCTGCTCACCGAATTGCGTTATCAGTGTCATGACATAAGATGTATAATCCATCCAGATCTCCCAGAGAGCAGTGCAAAACTCACGCCACAAGCGTCTGCTCACCGAATTGCGTTATCAGTGTCATGACATAAGATGTATAATCCATCCAGATCTCCCAGAGAGCAGTACAAAGCAGATGGAGCTCCCTCCGAGCTCCCTTCACGTGATGTCTGGTCAACAAAGTAAGTGGCAACACTTCCCCACCCGCCCTGCCACAGGAAGTAATGTTTGTCGCATGACGTACAAACAAAACGCACAATTCTCAGGAGCTAGAATCTTGCCAAATTAAGCACCGTCAAAATGTAACACGATGGGTTTTTTTTTCTCATGTACCGTCGTCGTTGGCTGCCCAAACTCAAACTAAAGGCTGCCGACGCTCTCCGCCACAGCTGGGCCAAGCCTCACCATACTCGCCGCAGCCCCACGCGTAAACGGCGCCCGACCGCGTGAGCGCCATGACGTGGCAGTCTCCACACGAGATCTGCGTCACAGGGTTGATGTTGAAGAACTGCACGGGCATCGGCTCGAGCACCTCCACACCCAGCTCCCCGTTGCAGCCCATGCAGCCGTAGTAGTCGGAGCCGAAGCTGAACACTTCGCCCTGCTCTGTACGACAGACACAAGACATACACGCACGACAAATCCTGTGTATAAGCAATACACACTGGTCAGGTGAGTGCTGTTAAGCGAGCGCCCATTAATAAAGGATGGCATGGAAAATGACACATTCCAAAATAAACACGCAGGCAACACAGACACCAAGACCTCCTGCAAACAATACAGACTGTCGTGGGAAACGCTGACCCGCTGATGTTAGCCATGGCCAGGATTCAAACCAACGTCGCCAGGTTCTTAGCGCAATGCGCTAACCATCACACACACACACACACAAACACAGGTGACTACGTTAAAAGCAGTGTCCTAACCGCTGCATGTGAACATGCATGCACACAAGAGCCAGTGACATTCTTGCAGACAAGCGTGACACTGACTGCGAGTAGCACATTCACGAACGATTTATTTTATCTTCAGACACCGACTTTGTAATTACATTTACCAGCGTAGCGAACGTGTGAGCACTACATTACGTTGCTGGGTTTACATCTCTTGTTGAGATTTACTTCACATATTTTGTTTAACTAAAATCAATAGTGTATTTGGATCAGAATATATTGTATTAGACTATAGTAATTGAACACAATCACCAACATTACATTCAAATAGAATATTTAATTTAGTAGTAATTTATTTCACTTCTAATTGTCTAACACGTGGGTATAAAGGCTACGCTTATTTCACCCAACTATTCTCATGCTGTGTAACAGTCGAGCAATCGAACCGATAACCAGTCGAGCAATCAAAATTGAGCAAGTCCTCATTTAACGTGGAAGGAGTTCCTGAAAAGCGCTGTGGAGCGAAAAAACACATTACGCAAAAACAATTTTCCAATAAATAATGTAACGATAAAAGTGTGGCAAGATACGACGCAGGCACACGATGTACAAACACACAGTAAAGATGGCGGGACGAATAACCGAGGGTACGCCGCAGCATGAATTGTATCATTCTGCGTACGTTATTGTACCGCTTCGCCACGCAGCTCAAGAAGTTCGTCGTCGACCGCTCAGAAACTGCATCATAACGGTGCACGTTACACATTGCGCGAAAAGTGTTACCTCGTGGTAAAACCGTCTTACAGTGAAAACGTTTTTTGGGAACACGCATTAAGCGAGGACTTAGCATAGCATGTTTCATTAATCAGTGACATCAGCTCCATATGCAAGTGTTTGCAAGAGGGCGGGAGAGCAGTACCTGTGAGACAGACTGTGAATTCATCCCCGCACGCCACCTGTCGCACAGCGAGGCCCAACAGCTTGTCGACGCGCTTGGGCTGCCGGTACGATGCCTTGTCCTTGTGTCCCAGCTGCCCCACCATCTTGGTGCCGCCCTGCACATTCTGCCAAGGGCGAAGGGACCCAAAACAAATTATATAAAGCAAATGACTCGCCGCCCTCTCTGGCTCTTCACAACTCGTCCCGCGATCACGCAAGCGCTGTGCGCAAGCTTCGCTGCAGCTCTTGTTTTTACATTTTATCCGAATTGTACCATCAGCGTACATATTTACAAGATGAAAAACTCCATTAGGATCTTACCAAGATATACAAAACACACCCCAAGATAGAGAATGGCCCATGGAAGAGAATATTACAGAGCTAGGTCTGAGATCCCTTCAAGTGCAGCCACATAAACATTCTGACGGAGCTCTGTTCCGTACAAAAATGTGTCCTTCACATATCCATCTCTGCACGTAAAAAAGAAAAATATTTCTTTCACAACCAATCAGCTGGGAGAGCATAATTTCAGCAACATAGAGTCTCATCAGCAGTTAGGTTTGCATCAATCAACGCTGGTGAACTGCCAGCGTAAGAAGCATGTACCCTCCCCTTAGAATATGGGGTCCCAGTTCCAGGATGAAGCACTTTCTCACCTGCTCTACCATTGGGGAGTAATTTTTGGTACTCAGTCAAACCACTTTTTTCTCAGACCAAGATATTAGACAAATTAAGGACCAAACTAAATGTAATACAAAAAATGTGTAATAATTGGCAACCAGGCTGAGACTATCACTTTACTATATTTGAGAATCTGATTTAATCATATATACCACTCCACAGGAACACACACACACTCCACAAGAACACACACACATAGCACTCTAAAGACAAAAACCCCCCCAACCATATAGCCTTAACAGACTGTTGGAGCAAGTGGTTTTAGAGCATCTATAAAGGTCGGCACAGCACACGACGGTGGTGGGTTGCCAGCAACACGTCCGGCCACCTTTGTATCACTGCACCAGCTAGTGGAGGCCCAGATCTAGTCCAGATAATTGTCACCGATGTATGGCCACGAGCAGGAATCGAATAATCGGATCGCCGCGTTTGTAGCGCAGTGCCCCAACTACTACACTACCCATAATATTGGTCGCGAAAGCCTACGTGTTAAACTACTACACCACCATTCCCCACAAAGACAAACACCACGCCACACACCACCACCACCACCACTGCAGACGAAGGAGAGGCAGTGACAGACATACCGCCCAGGTGTACAGCTCCTTCTCAACGGTGACTGCTGCAAAGTGGGTGTTGCTGGCGCACACCCGCAGTGCGCTGTACCCGCCACGAAACTGGTCCAGCATCTGCGGCGTGCGCTTGCCACCGCCCCAGTAGTAGACATCGCTCGACCGAGCAGTCACCACCGGCACCGCCTCCGCATTATCGCTCCTGGCTCACGCACTCCGGCTCGTTAGCGTGCGCACCTTCACGCTTCCCGTGCCCATGGGGTCCTCACAAAGTGACGTCCACACACGGGCCACCCCTCGCCCCGTTGTAGGGATTTTTTTTTCCGTGTCCTTAAATGCCAGTGATGGTAGTCTGTCCTAGTATAGCATGTAATCACATGCATGAATTTTAGAAGGATTAACGAGTTAAATTTGACATGTAGGCTTTAGCGAGCAATAGAATCCATGCTGGTTTTTTTTGGGTTAGATCGCGTAAATACATACGTGTCGTTAAACCCGCCACCACCCAACACAGCCAATTGATAAGGTTTGTCACGTAAACAGAACATTGCCAATTTCTAACTAGTGTGTTGGAGAGCCAAGCCATGGGTTTAACGACAAATGTATACATGTAAGTAATCTAACCCAAAAAAAACTGTATTATGGCGTTACATTTTGTGCAATTAATTTAATGAATAGAAATTAAGTATGGTTTACAATTCTTGTTCAGGATTTATTGGGCACTGCCCACTCCTACCCCCCTCCCTTGGACTCATTTTTGGATTTTTCCCCAGGTCACTCGTCCCAGCAATTGGGCCAAATCACCTCATCCATCCAGCACAGTTCATTCCATATTACACTTACAACGGCCCACCACATGACACAAGCCCTATTTAGAAGTCATTTAATAGACAGGCATAACCCACACTTCCCACTACTTCATTAATATGTAGTGTAGATGTGCTTAGAATATAGTGTACTCATCTGACCTTATGCAGCAGTGTTAAATACAGTTGCCATTGCATAGTGTGCTCTTTCATGACACAAATTAATATGTTTATGCAAAGGGCAGAGAATAATACCATGAGGAATCTTCAGCTGTAGAATGCAGCGATTGCTGACGATTTATGCTCCAACACTATTAATAATGACAGAGAAAAAAACCTAGCCATTTGAATGCGTCACGTTAACACCTCACTCTTCACCGATGAAAAGGAATGCAAGCGATTCAAGTCAAGCTCATTTAAAACATGACTGAGTAGCTATCCGTACCAAATTTTTTTGTTTTAATTAATCAGAGTGCGTTTGCACTCAAGTGGATGTGTCGACACTGATAATTACCTTATGCGTCTTGCAGGCTCGTTTAGCCGCCAAACATTTTTCTCCATTTCCCTGGTGGTGGAATGGGCAGGGAGTTGAGCATCAGGTATCAATGAAAAACAACAACAGCTACACCTCACCATATCACAGACCATCGGGTAATTTCTTAAGCGTTAAGTTTTACTTAAATTAATTTATTTTGCAATACATCTTTTGAAAGCCAGTGTATGTGCACAGCGCCGTATTAATAAATCAAGAGCTTTAGAGAATTAGAACAAGAGTGTTAGATGGTTAAGTGTGGCTTGGCTGGGACTTCAGCATTGTTAGATATAAACATGAATAAAAGTCATTATACTTTCTAAACGTTGTATAGGCCATAATAATTTTATAACATTAAATAATTTACAGCCATTTGTCAATCCAATTTTGGATAGCCTCCCCACAACGTATTGGCCATGGGGGTTGTTTTGGCCATACTTCGCCAAGCTGGTCAGTACCAGTTGGAGATTTGGGAAACTGGGGGGGGGCCCAGGTGGTTGATGGGACACAGGCCCAGCTCCGATATCACTCGCCAATTATGGTAGTCATGGCCAGGAATAGAATTTTAGTCGCCAAATTCATAGCAGTGCCCTAAGCACTGCTCCTCCACGCCACCCACTATGATCTATAAAGCAGTGGTTCCCAACATGTGGTCCTGTTAGCCTGGGGGAAGTGATCCACGGAACCGAGGGATACAATTATTTTCACTGCATGGCAATCCGAAAATATCTTGAAGTGTTCATAGGTGATCCACAGATCGAGAAACGTTGGGAACCATCGATCGATACGCACAAGGTAATTTAAAGAGAAGCAAAGTGTTTGCCATCAAAACAACACTAAACCCCAGGCCAAGCCAACAATACCATGGTGTAATAACTACCGGACTCGCAGGCAGAGAAACTACGCCAAGGTTCCAGCAGCCAAGCCAGCCCAAAGACAGGCCAGTGCAGGTAGGCAGGTGAAAGCAAGGAGAGGCAAACAAGCCGAGGGGACAGCATGCAAGCTGGCAGCAGGAGAGGGCCGTGTCAGAGGTGGCCTGAGGGGAGGAACAAGCACAGTCGTTCTCTTTAGCTGTGCACAGCAGTCGCCAGCCGCCTCACCGACAACAGACGGCCGCCAGCTGGGTTACGTTAAAATTCGTAGGGTTGCCACAATATTGGCGTTTCACGATATGACGATTATCGACAATATTAGTTTCCTATAACTTCGCAATTTTATTTAGCACGGTTATTGTATTGTTTTGAAGCTGCACTTCTGGTAAACTGCACTTCTGGTATGAATATAGGATTTTTAAGTGCAGTTCACGGAATGCAAGCCTGCCAAATGTCTCACAAAATTTTCGTTGCCAGATTACAATCTGAATTGCTTCTAATATACATACCGTTAATTAAATGTTCACATATTACTGCCATGCCATGGATAACAGCACTCTAATGGAAAGCACCGTTTATTTATAACTTTCATTATTGCGTTATTTTAATCAGGGAAAAACATTTAAAATAAATAAAATCAATCATAAATGACAAGAAAAATTAATCGGTATGACGGGCAATATAATAGCGGACCTTGTATTGTACGATATATATTGTGGTTTCACCGAATCACGGCAAACCCAAGTAATTCATGTCCGAAAGTAGAATTGTGAGCACAAAGCCAAACGCAGATGAGTGGACTGGCTAAAAATCCCACTACAGATCCCTCTTGAAAGTAGTCTTAAGTTAATTGCTTTAAAACTGCCCTGTATACAAAGTGGGAGTTGGTATACAAGCATTTGCAAGTTGTTTAATAACCAACGGAACGTTATCCCAATGTAAAAAGAAAGTAAAATGGATCAAGCATTGGAAGACAAGCAGGGCCATTTCTCTCGTATGATGCTACCTTTCTAAAGCAACCACCTCATCTATTTAACATCTGCATTAAATATTAAAAGTATTTGTTGTGTTAACTACAACATTAATTTCCAAAGAAATACGAATTTCATTGGATTACACTTCACAAAGGGAACAAAGGCAGTTATGTAACAGACTAGCAGGAAGTACCCGGCTTTTCCCAGAGAAAAATACATACATATTTCAAACTTTTCTTCACTTAAAAAACATAACATATACATACACTAAGCTATTATAAAAGCCCGGCGTTCCGTTTGTCTGTCCCTTTGTCCATTAAGAAAATTATAAGGGCCTTATAGAAGGCCTGAATCAAAACGTTATAGAAAGTGGGGGGGGGTAAATAGTTGATCTAAAAAGTTTTCAAAAATCGCGACAATCCCCCCCACCCCAAAATGTTTTTACCCCCCCCCCATCCAATTTTTATGTTGTAGGCATATATGCCTACACACCCTACATGCAATACAGCAGTAACGACATACTCTACAGTAGCATCTACCTACTCTAAGTAGATATATAGTCGATAATACTATAGAGGGGCAACCGCGAGTTGGCGTTCCGCGCATGCGCAGATGCGTGCTTTGCCACGCTCAAAGTTATAATTATGATCAGCGTACATTATTACAAAGTGTGATTTTCTTAGTTTAGATTGGACCAAGGGCAAAAACAAATAGCAAGTGTTCATCGGGGGGCTTAGTTTGTTGTGTGTACTTTGTTAAAACGTAAACAAAATAGTTTTGTCAGTTAAGAGCATTAGAAGGACATGCATACACAGAGATAGAAAGACAAAAAAATACTTTTATAGGTAAGATAAGCACAATGTAGCCAGAGTACTCAACCCTTCCCTAGTCAGCTCATAGTTAATGCATCATATGTTCCAATTCAGATCATGAACCAATTATGAATTATATTGCTTTTGGGAAGATTCTTTTTTTAGAAAACATGGTATGAACACTCATAAAAATTACCATAGGGTTTTCTTCGTCACATTAAATTCCTTTTAACACTGTTCATTATCAAGCATTACTCAATAGCAAGTCAGTTACTATCAGTGGTAAGGGACTGTGGCTTCACTGCAAAGAAAATCTAATCTATGAAATGTACTGCGATGCTAATTACAGTACTTCTCCAAAATGTAAAAAGTCAGTGATTTTCTGCTTAAATGCACATGGGGCAATGTTGATTTTGTTGTTTTTGTTTACAACACCAAGCCCAAAGCGTAAATTCCACATTTCTATGGCGGTGACTCATTCATATCAAAAAAGCCACTGTTGACTTTCCACAAAATGCGACAGATGTATCCAATCCACACCCCCTGAACGGAAATACAAATTAAATTTGTGAACCACTAAAATCTGTCCACCACACACAAGATGTTGGGGGGAGCCAAGTGGGTCGGTCCACTCTCAATGCTTTCTGGCGAGCATGTAGCCAGCTCTCCTCCTCAGCACCAAACCTCCTGATGCCAGTTCCAAAACATTTAAACCAGTTTTGCCATCCCTATAAATAGGGGGGAATAGCAGGGGGGGGGGGCTTCAATGATGCAGTGGTTCAAGCACTTCGCTATGAATGTAGCAACCTAAGTTCCATTCCTGGCCATGACTAACACCAGTGGCAAATGATATCCCAACTGGTCCTGGACTCTGACCCTTCTCACCAAGCAGCTGACCAGTGTGGTGAAATATGGTCAAACAGCTTCCCATAACGAACACAACATGGGGATGCCTTCATTAAGAAGTAGAATGACAACATTGTTATATCAAGCTAATCATTATTCTTAACCCGCTTTATATAACGTTTCCTCATCATCAGCCATGGTGAATCCAATGCCGTAGAAATTCCTCTCCAAGCCACCTCCACAATCCTGCAATGTAGCAATCCACCTAACCATTCATATATGATCGGATTTCATCACTCCACTTCCTCGGATGCGTTTCATTGCTTAGCTACCACTATTATTCTTGACCATCGTCCATCTATAATAAAGCAATGTCTCCAAACCAAGTCTGCTTACTTTACTGAATAGTATGTATGTAATGTCATTAAGCTGCATACGATCTGTAACATTTTAACATGCCAAAGCTAAGGCACTGTTATAGCCCACTGCGCACAACACGCTTAACATGGTGCCATGTGGGAATGTTTTCCGATGATTTTCAGACCTCCTACGCGTCTTGATGGGCGACAGCTCCAGCAGATCCTCAGCCGTAGGCCTCTGCTCCGCGTCCTATGGAACGATAAGGCCCCGCTGTCATGACAAGCTGGCGACATTGCCGGGCGGCGCACGTTCGTCGCTTCTCGCAGGGGGTTCACGGTACGAGTCCAGTAGGCCGCCCTCATTAATACTGCCAGTGTAATGACCACAACAAATACACACCAGTCTGCTTCGCAGTGCATGCAAAGAATCATGTGACGTCATTCGAAAAGAGTGTGCCATTGTGTGCCTGCATGTTTGTCCAAATTTACCAAATTTTAACATTAACCAGCAAAATACTCATTTGGGATTGCACATAGCAGCGACATCGTCCCCTAAAGCAAAACTAATGAAAACCGTTCCATAATTTTGAGTTCGGCTCAATGATTCTGTTCACAAGATCCCCCGCGACACATCGTAGCCAAACAAATTAAACTGTGACATGTACAAGCGTTTAACACGCCAATTACTTTTGTTCCGGCTCATGCACCAGTGAGTTGCAGGACTCTCAACCAAATTTACAGATAAGAACAAAATCTAGGAAGTAATTTTGACTTCCAGATTCCTGAATTTTCCCCAAAGATACTTGAACCAGTCTCAAGTGAATTGTCAATTGTAAGTGCTAGGATTTGGCTGCGCGAATTTGTTTCCCAACTCATCGGTGAGCTAAAACAATAAAAATTGGTGCATTAAATGGTTTCATACACGTTTGGCTATGACAGGTGGTGGCTGGGTCTTATGACAGAAATTTTGCCAGATTACTACAATGCACAACCCAAGAATCGATTACAATTCATAGTTTACAGTCGTTTCACAGTAGGGGGCTATGAAAAAAATGTCTTACGCTTACTGGAAACGAGTAGCTAAACAGTGTTGTGCTATAAATAATGGTGTGAATAACAAATGTACGAACGATGATAATAATATTGAGCTAAGATAAGGGATTTTTTTTTACCACAGCCATCAGAACCTCAAGCAATGAGGAGCAGTCAGATTAACCGGCATGTGACTTCAATGCCAATGTCCGTCTTGTGTCCAGGTGCTGGTGTGATTATTATGGATAATGGAAAAAAAGTGTTGAGTGAGAGAGCATGAATACAAGCAAACATTTGAGAGGTCGTATGGGAACATTTACAAAAGGTAAACTGCAAGAGAAAAGGGGGGAAACGGAGGAGACGAATCAGTTGTTGTGACAACTTGTACATTTGGACTAAGGGAGGTCCCCCAAGAGTTATCTTATTGTGGAAAATTGTTAAGAGCACCAAGTCACTGGCACCAACTGTGAATTAAGAGGGTGGCGTAAAACACGGACGTACACACAAGAGTGCAGATGCTGAATCAATATCTACTCAGGTGGTGAGAACAATTCTAAAATATTTGGGAGGCGTTGTCGTTAAGCCCACACTGGACGATGAGAAACCACCGTAGACACACTTGAGCAGCAGGTGATCCATGCCTCGTGCGCTGTTCACGGTTTCACACCAGCTGGCTGAACAGCGAGCTCTGATTTCCAGCAAGACCAAATGTACCCAAATATGTCACACACTAAAAATATTAAAAGAACGCCACTGAAACTAACGCATATCCCAAGACCATTCTTACAATAGTGAATGCAGAAGACGGTACTTTACTGGGACTGTCTGGCACGAGACATTTCCATGCAGTGAAAATGTCTCGTGGACAGCTGGACAAGCCACAGCATGGCTTTGCACAACGTTACATTTGAGCTTTGAAAATGGGATTTTTATTATTTTTCTATTTTATAGGTCCCCCCCCCCTCCAAAAAAACCCTCATCATATGCAAGACATGAAACATTTGCCCATTGTATTGCAGACACATGGTGCAAAGGATTCCAGGGCTGAAGACGAGAGTGGGCAGGGAGCATGGTGTCCCACAGACAGCACAGACAGCACAGACCTGTTGCAGACACTTCTGTACAACTTCCTTGATCTCCTTCGAGTACTGGTCATCGATTTCCACCTGTTTCTTGCCGTGAATGATCTCATAGCACAGCTTCAGCGGGTTCTAAAAACGGAAAGAACGTCCACATTTCATACCTTTACTTTGCAGCAGGTTTCACACCCATACAAATACATAATTAAAAATCAAAAATGACATAACTTTTTCAAACTGCTGGATGAAGGCCTCCCCATGCAATGCCAGAATCGGTTCAGATATCGCTCACCACTGATGGTAGCCGTGGCTGGGTATTGAACTCCGCGTCGCCAGGGTCATAGCATAACAACAAACAGTACCACCACTCCACCACACATATACCAGGTAATAAGTGTTAACACACACACACATTACAATGATACCCTATTTTAACCACCTCTTGGCTACCATGTTGCCCTAGCCTTCAACCCATGGCATTGCAAGGCACTCACTCAACTAAGTATGAACTAGGCTTAAACCCTGCTTTGCTTCCGAGATCCTGCACAATGCAAGTTGGTGGTATAGTTAACTCTTGATTATCCTGGTTGAAATTTCACATGCTTAAGAAAAAAAAAAGTATAATTGGGCATGCGCTGGGTTAATAGCTGCTCTCAGTCTATGCAAGTAAACAATGGTTTTTATAGCCCAAGTTACACCTTTTCATTATCTGCATTTTCGTCTTACTCAGGCCGCCCCTCACCTCTATTAACGCACCTTCAATAAGCATGGTTGGCTACGTACGGTGTGAAAGAACTTCAACATACATAACCCCGGACAACAGAATAAAATATATATATACAATAGCAACAGCAGAATCCTCATCTCCTCCTCACAGTGGCATCGAAGGTGCGGGTGAGCGTGAGCAGCTCATAGAGCACACAGCCCATGGCCCAGATGTCCGACTTGGTGTTGTATTTGTCTCCACGGATCAGCTCCGGAGACATGTAGTAGGGGGTCCCCACGTACTGCAGAAGCACACAATTACATACGCACGCACACCGATTAACCCCCACGGTGACACGATGGCTTGAGACAATCTCAGGGCATTATTAAAAAGGGAACTTTGTGAATGTGTGTCCGTTCGAAATGTTTAGCATACTTCCCGACATGCAACAAACTTGAAATTTGGCATTTGGCATGTGGTTAGCTCCCAGACTGTACACAAAAAATATAAAAATAGACTTTTGTATTTTGCACGCAAGTGAGCGGTGACGTCACATCTGTGATGTCACCCGCATGCGGCAACGTTACGCAGTGTACCTGCTGACGTCACACATCCCCCCCCCCTACCCTCCGCGTAGGCAGTGTATTAATCCAAGACAAGAATCCAAGTCCCGGGCGAAGCCGGGTAGTAAAGCTAGTAGCATATAATTTGCATTGTGCATGACACGATACATTGACAGTGTAGGAGTTCAATCGATGTACCGAAGAATCGGTTACAGAGCCCCGGATAAACAGAACTGGGCAATTTACTATATCAAGAAAATATTATTACTTATGTTCAACGTTCAATTCTAACGTGTAATAAACACAAAATGTTCAGCACAGCTCTTGTTCACATGCAAAAAAAATATGCGCAGTATATACGAATGACAAAATGGGAGTATGAATTAGAGGATCGTCTTTTTTAAAGAGAGTATACCATGGAGACAAGGACAAACTCACAGGTGTGAATTTAATAACAAACCCTGGCTGTGTTAGTAAAACACCGTCAACTTAAATCTAACAAGCCATTCGCGGTAGAATAATGAACCAACAGACTTCGCGCACCTCTTCACCTCTTCATCTCGAGCGAGTGGAAACTAAGGTGCGTTGCTCGAAACCACACGGGTGGAGATACCGCATCTCACAGAGCACGGGGATAACAAAAATTTAGAAAAGAGGGATAAGAAATAAAATCGCACTCTAAGCTCAAAAATTTAACAGCATGCAAAGCCAAGCTGACGCATTTGCCAGCCGAGTTTCTACGCTGCACACAAACACCGTGCGCCAACCAGTCCAAGTCTAGTAGCGTACTGTCGCCGTACCTGGTGGCGCATTGGATTGAGCAGTCCAAGATTAGGTTGGCAGGTTTTGTTTTTAAAGGTTTAAATGGTGTTCGTTATCATTATTTTACATTACTTTTATAATACAAATATACAAGCCCGTATTTTTGTTACTATATAAAATAAATAATATTAGAAGCTGTAATTGGGCTAAATTTGGGCTTCATTTTATTAAGAATATGAACATAGCAGGGAAGAGAAACCCCTGAAATAGCCCAGTAAAATCGAGCATTCACTTTGGCTCAAGGTGGCATTAAATTTGAAACAAGCATTACACTCGATGGTGATGAACAATTTTAAATGGTATCCAGGACATGACAACTGGTATGAACTGTCATGGACGACACGACAGACACCAGAAATAATGTGACAATGCCACATGTATGTATGTAGAACTTATTTCGCACCGTATGTAGCCAACCGTGTTAACATGTATGTGAAGGCTTTGCTTTAAACATCAAAGATACACGTTTTGTCATTACTAGAACATAAAAGGCCACAGATGTCCACACTTTTCTGTGAACCAATGGTACACTTTTCAAGATCACTCCACTTCAATAAGCTCCTCAAGTCAGACAATATACACCATAATCATGTCAGCTGTATTCGAGGATAACAGCTGGCCACAAACAGGGCTCCTCGAATTCATCCCTTCGGCTACTATGTGCGCGTCTGCCTATGGGTTGTAGGCACCCTAACATTGGAGTACGTTGCCAAAGAGGGTAGGTGTACTTACGCTCTCTGCCATTTGACTCCTTGAGTCCAGAATCTTTGAAATGCCAAAGTCGCCGACCTTGATCAGGTCCGATTTGGTAAGGAAAATGTTCAGTGTCTTTATGTCCCTGAAATTAAACAAAGACAATTAGAATTGTTGCCAAGAGTTTATTTCCATATATCCCTTTAACTTGGGGGGGTGGGGGGGGGAAATGACAACAACCACAAAAATACAAACACTTTCATTAACCAAATCAAGATTATGGAAATTCCAAAAAGGCAAGGGAGGAGGAGTCAAGAGAGGTACCCATTTCAGACATGCTGAAAGAAAATCGACTCTGACGGCCAGGACAAGATGAGAAAAAAAGCAACATCAGAAGATGGGAGGTGAGCATGAAAGCAACAAGGCCGAGACAGACAGAGGTGGTTCCAAGCAGAGAGCCAAGATATGAAGGAATGTGGAGGAGGAGGAGACATGGAGAGGACCCAGAACAAGGATGAGTGTAGAAAGAAGAGCGTGAAGGAAGACCCCAAATGGGTGGATACAATTCAAGGAAGAAGATGCAAGTTCTGATTTCACCTGGTTAGACGGAGCAAGGAACTCTCACCTGTGAAGAATTTTGAAGTTGTGGATCTGCTCCACTGCAGACACAAGTTGGTAAAAATACCACACGATGTCCTACAAAAGAACATTTGAGAACCATTTCATTTTCTGAATTTTCAAATAAGATGCATGAATAATAATTTACATTCCTTTGTAAATCCACTGCTGGATGAAGGATTGTCCAAGCAATGTTGGCCAAGGTGGTTACTTTAACAGCTGGTCAGTGAAGGTTGGCGAAGGAGGGGGCACAAGACCAGTTGAGATAGTACTCGCCACTGCTAACCATGGCCACAAAAGGTTGCAGAGTTTGCCAGGATCATAGCACAATGCATAAAACTCTGCCACAGTCCTGCCCCCACTGAGATATCGCCGGTAATAACCGCTTTAGCATTTGCAGAACTGCCATCTGTGTATGTATATAAGCCATTGTGTATCACCATGTGTGGGTTTTCAATTCATTTTTCACTTAAGAGAGATGTGGAATTTACCTTTTCTGGGAAAAATGCTCCATGTTGCTTTATGATTTTCTCATACAATGTGCCACCTGTGGAGCAAATATTAAGACCTTTCAAAAACAAAACAATGCAACAGTCACTCTACATACATCACATCCATGAAATACATTTCACAATTCATTTACGCACATTATAACCATTTACACACAATGTATACACAGAAATACTTCACATTAATAATAATATTGAGTTTATAAACAGTGTCTTATATGTAACTGCATCACACAATGCTGCACAATGGGCAAACACGGAGGCGCATTGATCAAGATGTTTTCAGCCAATGAATGACCATTTGTGGGAGAAAACCCACACATGTGGAGGTGCCAACTCTACAAATAAAGAAACAAGTTCAGAGATTAGTCAGCACTTTATTGTACCGCCTTCGCGTAGCGAGCCAGGGCATGGCACCTCAACGCTCAAAGGGAGGGGAAAGTTTCACAACACGTGCTTTGTATACAGCACAAGTAAATGCACATGCATTTACCACATACACACGGTTGTTTCAATTACAAAGACATTTCATAATTTCTATAATTTGACAGTGTAATTTTGGACAATATTACATGGCGATTTGTGCATTACGCTGGAACCCATGTGCAACATTTCTTTTTTCGGATTTTGCTGCAAGATGTCAGTGGGATCATGCAAAGATGGAGGCAGCGTTACACAAATGGACATGAGAATGGTGTTTGACGTTATTATTTGTTGTTCTCCCGATAATGTAAAGAGAAGTGATATCTTAATGAAGCTGCAAACAGGCGAATTGTGGCAACATGATGATGCACACCCACACTCTGTGCATGCAATATTTGTAACTGATGAGAAAGCCTGAATGGGAAGCCCACATATAGCCCAGACATAGCCCTCTTCAGAATACCATCTGTTCGGACCTCTGAATGAAGTTTGAGGTGGAAGATTGTGGCATGGTAATTAATCTGTGAAAGCAGTGGTGCATATTCTTGGCTCTTTCGGTAAAGTCACGTAGAAGTGGTGCAGTCACTACTTAAGGACCAACCACAAGACCTCGGATGCTGGCATTAGGAGCCTAATGGTCTTGGGATAGGTGTATTTCAGTAGAGGGTGACAATTTACAGAAATGTTCTATATGTCATCTCAATGGTATCCAATATTGCTTCAAGATTAACTTTCGTCTCTTCACTTAATGAAGCACTCTTGTGTATGCTTCAAAGTAATTCCCCACAATGGGAACACAGTTGAAAAAAGTCATTAAAAAACACTTGATAGCCCACATACATATGTTAATGTAACCCAGGCTAGGCCTATTAGGAACACTTCACAATCCAGTTTCAATGGTTTTCATTGTATCATCTCCCCTGCAAATGTACCAATTAATGAACTTAATAATGCAATTCTCAGTCCACTCTAAATCAAAAATCATACTTTCTTCAGAGTGAGAATGTGTGTTGTCAAGTTTTTTTTTCCCCAGGATACCACGCCACAACTGGGGCCCCGAGGGCACGTCACAAACCGTTGCAATACTCCAGCTCGATGAGTAGGACATTGCCGTCGAGGAAATGGTTGTAGTAGGAGATGATGTTGGCATGCTCCAGCAGGGACAGAATATCGATCTCGTTCTGGGAGTCGCGCCGCTCCTTGTCACTCAGTCGTGTGAGGTCAATCTCCTTCCACACCACCAGCGAGTTGTCCTGGAGCACACAAAGACAAAAGACACTAGTGCAATCTTAAGACTGTTTGGGGCAAGTGCTATTAACGAGCACCAATCAAGTGCTGGCAGAGTGCACCAGGGGCATGGTGTGGCAAGCGCCATGCCCAGCCATCTTTGTCTCTCTAGTGCTGATGTTTATAGACTCCATGTCAAGTGTACATTTAAGGCTGTGTCGACCTAGGGGAGGGAAGGTCACATTCAGATACAACTGGCAAAAGGCTTTATCTGGGGCTGCATATCGAACTCTGGTCGATGGGCTCACAGGGCAGGGCGTGTACCACTGTGCATTTGCGGCCCACGCCTCGCTTCAGTACACACAACACAAAGAGAGCACTGTCAGAACAAACACTGCAAGTTTCTACAGCTAAAAAAAGGTCCACGTGTTATCAAAAACACCCATCTTGATCAGCAGCAATGATCAATCCACTGCCCATAAAAAGCCTCCAAACCGCCGCCATCTGTCATGGTCTAGCGATGCAAGATTCCATCACGCCATTTCCACGGAGGACGGACGTACTCGGGCATATTCATGATTTTGGCTGCTACTCGGTAGTTTGATTACCAGACATCATCCCTTCTAGCGATGTGTTTTGTTCAAGTGCAACTACAAACGTGCACCTCCCCATGTTTCTTTGTGCAATTTTCAGACTTTGTTCAATGTTAGCACTCCCCCTGTCCACATTTTCAAAATGTCATGGAAAGTAACATGTACTATTGTCATTTACATTGCACCGTCTTGACATCCTGGTGCTTTGAATATTTCTCCCTTTAAAGTAAATTGTAAAAAAATATATTTCTACATGGCATTGGTGCGAATTGGGTTTACAAACCAGTATAAAACAAGTTGCTCGTGGTTGTGCGCCTTCTAAATCGAACACTAATACAAGTCGAGTCATAATTAGACAGGCATCACTTGCCATTGTTGCAACCAGTCTAAAAATAACACAGAACATTCGCTTTTTTTAAAACTTACGTAACGTGTATTAAGTGTACCTTGGTCAAATACACCCTTGGACGCAGCAAAACTGGTGCTGCGTGGGCTCAAGAACATTGTGCTAACTGGAGCAGTGCTGATGTGTATTCCTAATAAGCCTCCACAAAAGCAAAGGCTTCGTATACCCACTTTCTCCTATTAAAACATTGCTTAAGTGAATGCACAAAGCAATCATTTAATCCAAAAAATAAAAAATAAACTCATTTTAGATACTGGTTATCATAATGGACGTAACAAATCAGTTTTTTATGCAATATCATAAAACACGCATTTATTTCACTTGATCCATTTCATTTCTGCCGGAGAGTTTAAACTGCGTAACATCATTTTGGTTATTTTCACTTTCTACGTAACTCGGTTACGCTGGTTTTAAATCTCGAATCTTTAATTCTAACTTAGCACCTGCACTTGAAGTAAAACATTCTAATTTCCATCAGTTTGGTATACTTATAACTATCTTGCTTGTTCTTTAATTCGGGAAAAGGCTTGTACTGTGCAAGTAAACTTCAGATGTAACTTGAAGTTTACCAACCGCGCCAATCGGTGGCGATTCAGGAGTTTAAGCGGCGTTCAAGTCGACTTTGAGCCCTCTGTACCAAACATTTATGAAGTTTACAATGTTTCAATCACGAAAACTTACTTCATTCGAAGTATTAGTTATTTTGCGGGAAATACATTTTCAACATTAACTGGAAAAATATTAATGTTGAAATGTCACTGACAATGTAAAATTAACTACCAATAAGTAGAATTTAAATAACTTTAGATTCTGTTTGGTCTGTCATTTTCACTACATTTACTCACAATAAATGTTCCTTTATATTTATTTACACAAAGCAATAACGATCAAATGCTTTCATTTATTCCAATTTTGCGAGCGTAAGGTCCTATGGACAAAACTATTAAGGCACAATAATACAAAGCATTAGGGCACGCTAAAATAATGCATATTAACGAAACGATGGATTAAAGTACGACTAAAATGGAGATGATGTAGATTGGGAAAGCTCACTAATGTATACCCGAGACATGATGAACAAATATTGGTGTCACGGTGCCCTCTTAACCATGCGCCCACGTAAGAATAACTATTAAAAGACACAACAAGGTAAATTGATTAAATTCCAAGTTGAGTCTTTATACCCTAGACTATTTGACATTTTTCAGAGTGAGTTTACAAAAAAAATATTAAAACCTTGTACTGTAACAGAGCCAATGTAATTATGAACATGCATACCTTGGCCTTTGGCTCCCATCAAACAGACCACACTTCCAATGAACCCAAAACACACAATAGGTGTGTAAAGAGCATCCAGAAGGTTACGTGCTTGCATTTGCTATCAACGAGCAATGGATAGCTACACCATTACTCACGCTTTTATTAAAGTAGAATTTGACCAGATATTGCCCAAAAAATTCCCAAAATTTTGTATCCGAATTACATTTTTTATGAGGTCATGCAAAGTTTTAAGGCCATCATCAATGAATAAATCAGATGCCCATCATATCAAACATTTGATTCATCCACTCACAATTCTAAATTTTCTGTGGAGAGTCTCATAATAACGGCATGGGAAAACACGATTGAAACACAGAGCTGCCAAGGGAAAAACACTTAAATGGAGGTCCCTTTCAGAAAAGACTGAAATACGACATTTATTTACGTTGACATATTTATAGCTGCAACAATAAGCTTCAATTGCTGGTCATTACCCAAACGGGCATGACAAGATGCGTGCTTGGAAGTAAAACAGAGGCAGGAAGAAGAACGCATTCATTCGCACAGTTAGCTAGTTATGGTGCGAATTAAGTAAAAAATACATACGTACATCGAGAACATACACAAGTCAGACATCATGTTGACTTGAAAGAAGTAATTGGGTTTTGAGGACATACACCGCTTGATGGACGATGGCTCATGGCAGAGCATAACGACAGAGTGGCAGGCAAAGGAGAGAACACCCCTGAGATGGAGTGAAATAATCTCTTTTTCAGCAGGTAGAAGCATTATTGCATTACAAGACTGGGGAGAGATGGCGACAGAAGTGAATGGATCATGGCTGATAACCATAACAGACATTTACCAAATACCTGTAGCCATATAAATGTCTGCACTCCAAACTGCCTAGGATGCCTATCACAACACCAGCACATCTTTGTTGGAAACGGGGACTAGGAGCAATGGACCATGAAAATAAAGTAAAAATTGATTAAAGTTTCCAAATTAATTACAATGATTGCATGAAGCCATCTAAAATGTTACCCAAGCATGAAATCTCATTTACAAACTGCAGATGATACCTTTCAAATGTCAAACATATGTAGACCTTATTTCACACTGTACGTAGCCAACCGTGCCAATCCAGATCCATGTACATGAACTTGCTTTCATTCCTATTATCGTTGCTTAAACGTAATTCGGTAAAATCACTCAGAATGTGCCAGTGTAAAAATGTACTCCGTTCACATTTTTATTTAATTCATAGTGTGTGGTTTAAATTTGCATGTGGCTTCAATCTGCCAGACTTTGTGTGTTCTCCATTGAAATGTGGGTTTTCTCCAGGTATCTCACAGACTCTCACACACCTGAAGCTAAAACACCAATGTCTGAAACGGAACAAACAATCCCATTTAAGACAAGAGTGGAGTAGTCTCCTGACGCATGGAGGCTTTCCTGGATAAAAAATTGGCCTTGTTGAAATCCCACAAATCGACATATTTTTTATTGTTAGTAACTTGCTGATCCACCCCCTACTGGAAATCTGTGAAAAAGAGCTTCATAACCCATCAGATTCCTCCAGGATAAATAAATACTCGGATTAAAAATCGGAAAATGTGAGTCAACAATTTTTTAAAAATTTTGGAAGCTTTTTCGTTGACAAATGTCTAACTACACTGTTAATAAACAGTATTTTTCCACACAGAAGTAACGGTGCTAACCATTGCACCATAGCATCTCAGTACACAGCAGTAAGAGTTAGAAAAATACTTAACAATTCACACATCAAAAATTAGCAGTAACGATATTACACTGTCAGGCACCTATTATAAAACAGTGACAATGCATCTGTTGCATCGCGGGACAATGAAGGATGGCGGGCTCTTGGAGATGCCTTCATGTAGAAGTCAATTGATCATGGCTAATGATGGTGAACTAGTTGTAACGTTTGCAGAGAGTTTGGGAATGACTGACACGAGGATGAATATGGTAGTTTAGTCCTCTCACAGCCAACCGTGTGAACAGCTAAGACTATGACCAGACCTAGCTTCTCAAATTGCAGACTGTAAGAGTGGCAGCAGCATGGTTGCATGGAAGAAGGGTCTTGCGAAGACTCCATCAACGGCCACTATTCTACACAGCGCGTCCAGCTGGCAGCCGGACCACAGGCCACGGTAAAGCTCCGTGATTTAAAGACCCTTAATTTAGACTCAATTAACATTTTTTCTGTGTTGAGCAGCGAGCTGATTTTAACATCGCAATTGCTTGGCCGTTTTAGACTGCTACCTCTTCCCCCCTCCCTCCCCACACTAATCCCCACCCCAATGTCCCCTCATCACTCCACCCTCCCACCAAGTTCCACTTACAACCCCATCGACTACAAGGAGTTAATAGTGACGGGTTAAGATTAACACAACAATGACATGTCATGTGCAGGAACAGAGATTACATCTGCCCGTGGCTTTATTGGATTGTACAAGACTGCAGTCCCCATTACCCGAGACTTCGCTCCATAATCGCCCACTTGTATGTAATTAGCTCAGAAATGCCACGATTACGATTGTGTACAAATGTGGGGCTGTACATTTTATGTCCATTATTTGAGTTGGGTTGTTTTCATAGCCATGTTGCAAGCAGCACATAATGCTCCCTTAATAGTTATACATTATTTCAAACGACGTTTTTTTCCAATGTTTTCCCTATAACTTTATATTGTTGTGTTTACACGAAGGCATTATTTGCTTATCCCATTTGTTTTATCCCAAGG